TCAGGATTATGTCCAATGACAGCCTTCGTGATCACAAAAATGAATCTTCGAATTTCATATTTGAAGAGAATGTACGAACCAGATATTATAATTAATAGAGGAAGAGTAGCGGTAGCGTACTTGGACGAGGCACTATGCTACAAGTCTGAATGTCGCGGGTTCGATTCCTGATGAGGTCATTGGATTTTTCATTTGATATAATCCTTTCAGCCGCACTATGGCACTGGGGTCAACTCAGCCTCTAACAGAAATGAGTACCAGGAATATTCTTGGGGGTGAAGGGGGGCCGGCGCTTAAAGCTGGCAAACTCACCGTCATCTATGAAGCGATTGTCTAGAAAATGTTGGAGCCTCGACGTCTCACACCTCGATGGGCTCCCACGGCCTGTTACGGGAATAATTTTGCCTCTACAAAGAAGGAATTGGTGACTTTAATACTTCATGGGTGAGCAACATAGAGTGAATGAATATTTTCATTTTCTTCGTACGTCACACTGAGCTGATAACGTTGTAACTCTACATTCAGGAGATATAAGTTTCGAATCTCTACCGGGTAACGATTTCTCTTTTCTGAAGCTTATCGTGTTTTCCCCAAGTCTCATCAGGTGGCTCCCGGAATAGAACAGGTAAGACCGTCTTTCGAAGTATCCGCAGTTCACTGTTCTTGATCATTTTCCTTCCCAACTGAGGCTATGTAACCTTATCAGTTGAATCATCATGTTAACGATCATAATCGTTCATACGACATTTCGTCGGGTTAATTTTTCATCAAAGAGTAACTTGATATTTCCAAATGTCGAGTGTGGAAGTTGCGTGTTTAATATGCGGTGCTGAGTTCTCTGGTCTTTGTTATTTATTTGCTTATCGATGTATGCTTCATTTAACGAGGCTTTCAATTGATAATGTTATATAACATGAACTAATAGGTTCACTGGCCAATAATGAGTTGGTAATGATTTAGAAGATCCGGTCACAGTAGCAGCGTGGTCTATTTGTTTTAATTCGCATATTGGGGGTGGAGTCCAACTGCTTCCAATCTGCACGTCGGCCTATACCTACCCCGGGTGATTATGATGACGGGGAATTTAGTGGAATGAAGATTGGTAAAGGAAACCCAAGTTCTCGGAGAAAGCCTATCCCAGCGCCACTTTGTACATCACAAATCCCACTTGACCAGACCCGGGCTCGAACCCGGGCCCGCGTGGTGGGAAGCCAGCGACTAACCTCTCGAGCGGTGGCGCGACCTAGCCTAACGGTCTAAGGCAGGCATGTCAAACTCAACTTGAACAGAGGGCCACCTAGCCCTATAAATAATAGTCCAAGGCCGCACTTCAAAATGGGAATATAATACATTAGATTTTGATACAAGGACATTTAATTCTATTTGTTATTTAGGAATAATTTCAATATAATTACCTAAAGTCACATATATTACCGTTTTAAAAAGCAAGAGAATGCCATTATTGACAAGTATCATACAACTTTTCAATATGTAAAAAGAGAGATTACACAAGAAATTATGTTGGAAATAGCAAAACATTGAATTTCCTGCAGCTTGCTAATTTATGTCTGCGTGAGACGTCTTGTCTTCTGGTCTGTTGGAAAATTGTCTTTACAAAAAATATTTCTACTATAATTTTAATATTTATTTTAATATCAATTAGCTCTAAAAGTTGAGGGGCCACATGTTTGACACGGCTGGTCTAAGGCATGTACTGTCTTCGCTCGCTCGGGCGCTGGGATCGTGGGTTTGAGTCCCAATCAGGGCATGGATGTTTGGTATGTATATTTGTTTGTGTTTATGTTGTCCTGTGTTTAGGTAGCGGCCTTGCGACGGGCTGATCACTAATCGAAGATGTGAAAAATTATTATGGAACTATCCTATCTCTCTAAGATCCATTTTAACATTGTGCATCCACCTAAGTCTTCCAAGTGGTCTCTTTCCTACTAGCTTTCCCATCAATATCCTATATGCATTCCCTTTCTCTCCATTCATGCTACATGCATTGTCCATCTCATCCTCGTTGACTTGATCATTATAATTATACCAGTACTTGGCGAAGAGTAGAAGTTATGAAACTCCTCCTGATGCAGTTTCATAAACCTGCTATCGCTTCATCCCTCTTCTGCCCAAATATTCTCAATACCCTGTTCTCTGACACCCTCAGTCTGTGTCATAGTATTATATAAAATAGTTTAATGTTTGTGCATGGAACATTGTAGACATACACGCACTACTTGAAAGCGAACAGTTCCAGTACTGTATGTGTTGTACTTCGTAATGAATGTTAGCCTTGAGGAAGTTCTACGCTGGAATCGGTTTAGACGAAATTAAATTGCTTCACGTGTACTGTCGAACTTTCTACCGCATGTGAAATTTTAGTAATGCACGCAATTCAATTTGTCCAGCTGTGAAATTAGAGATTATGGCGACAGTGTGTGCAATCCATTAACAATTTTGACCGCATTAGAGATTTTCCTTTCTTCAATTTTACACGTGTATACTGTTATTACGGTCCCCATAGCAACGTCGATACATGTAAGCGTAGTTATGAAGACCCGTCCGGAAATACCTAGAAGACAGTCGTGGTCTACTTTAAGTTCTCAGTTGAGTGATGGGACTTCCTGGTTCTTTGATAGGTAATAAATTATTCAATGATCATCTGATGCAAATTGAAGGTTCATCACTGCAGTTACAAAATCTCGCTATTTAAATTTTCATATCTAAGTGATTTTCCCTAAGATATCAGTTACTAGCCAATTTTAATGGTCGTTTTAGATTCGTGAACAAAATTAATCTTAGTATTTTGATACCTCAAGTCTCACAGACCTCAATGTTGTTTATACTCTCACGCATTGGAGTGACGATAGCCTGGTTTCGGATTGATACCCGGATTTATTGCGCAATTTCACAGTTAATAACTACACAGATCAATATCACATACAGACTAGCGTTATCAGTCATGTTGCTTGGTAACGGCTTCCAACCGTGAATGCTCCTCTGCTTCCGAGCTTACTTCCTTTGCAGTGTGGCGACAATCTCACGCTAAGCTCTTACCTTGACCTCTGACTTCAGCCAGTACTTCTTTCAGCTACTAGCTTCCGGACTGGACTGACTTCCAGCTGCCACCTCCAACTTCAGGTGTCAAATCTCGACGGGCTTCCGAGCCGAACTAAATGGTTTCCAACTGCCGAACTAATTGGCTTCAAAGCTGAACTGACTGGCTTCCAACTGGCACGAATCGTATAGAAAACAACCGCTTCCAACAGTTAATCTATTGTTGCTTAGCAATGACTCTGGCATTTCTGCGCGTTACACAGCCATTGCCTAGCAATGACCAATTCTCTGGGCCCTTATTCTAGTCGTCAGGCCTCATGTCACAATACTATGGCTGCAAGGTTGGTAAAGGGGCGATGATAATGCTCATTGAGAAATAATATTAAAATGGATCTTGAAGAGACGGCGTAGGAATGTGGATTGGATTCATATGGTTCAGGATGTGAACACGGAAGTTTGTCCTCGGTTTTCCTGAAGTACTGAAAATATTTTGGCCTGTAGAGCGCATATCCACTTGTCAATATTGACCCTGCTGCATGGAGTTAGTCACAGTATAACACATTCTCATTTATAACCTGGAGCTTGTCGTATTTTAATATTCTGTTGTGTTAAATAGACTCCGTGCACCTGTTCTCATTTCATCCGCTTGACGCAAGACGCCTACGATCTTGGATTGTTGCAGACTGGATTAAAGGTCTCGAATCTCCCTCACGTCATGGATACGTGTCTGCATGTTTGTCATTCTCTATAAGCTGAAGCCTTGCAATGGACAGATTTCCTGCTTAAAATGTACAACGAAATATGTAAAATATTTATATGCTTTTACTTTCGGAATTAATTATGAATAGTAGATCGGCGAGCCTAACCTGTTACTTATGGAAGAAATATTCTTTAATTCTACAGCCAGAGTAAAGATTGTACACGTAGTAAACTCTTGCTCAAGGCGGGAGGTACAGGAATTGGGGCGTGGAAAGAAACTATAGATCACAGGGATAGTACAGTGATATTTATTTATGAACAAATTGTGTGATGTAGTTAAAACATAATCGGAAAAATAAGAAATAAAATGAGAAGTCAGCGGACTGTTTGTTACTAGATAAAATCAGGGCATAAAGTTAGGCATCAAACAAACTTTTATTCCGATACGACGTGGCGAGCAAACCACATGACACAGTTTTTATTTTTTTTTTCGTTTGACAAGCTTAGTGTTGTATGGGATTACGCGGACGTTGAAAGAAACCGAAATAATAAAATTCCCTTTGCGTAACTAATTAAGCACTACGTCATGAAGGCGTATAGGGGAGAGGATGTATAGATCCATATATTCTTAATCTCGGTACTAGCTCGAAGTGAGTGGTCAGCTTCAAGCCGCGGCAGCTTTATCCCCGGTACCCATTGGATGAGATGTTGGGTGGACCCCAGAGCTACTGCATGGAGACAATTTTTGACGTTACCGGGACTCGAACTCCGACTCCTCTGTCGTCCATCCTGTAGCTAGACGCTATACCAACTACGCTATCCAGGCTCCTATATATACTGTAACGATTTTTAAACAATAAGCTGTGTAATATAAAATATTTTCAACTTCGCCGACAAGCGGCGGCCGCTCGGTAGGTATAGTTCGCTTGCGGACTAAATCCACGGAGTTTTTTTTGTTCGTATATAAAATATTTTCAGAAAGTTAAGCATTAAAGAAAATATTGACGGGCTGTTTGGTAAAGGACAAAAGCTTGGCACAAACAAGCTTTGTACTTTATACTTTACTTCATGTTTGACGGATTGTGTTCGAGGTATAATCTAGTTTCTTTTTTCTTTCGGCAGGCACTTGTTCATATTTATTTTCATGCGTGTAATCGAATCCGCATTGGAAAAATCCGCGCTGGAGGAAGGTTTTCTGTGTTTGAAAAAAAAAAACAAATTGAATTGTAGACACCTCTACTTGCCTTAGTGTTCGACCGACGGACGTAGAGAACAGACAATAGATGAGTGGGTTGGCGGCGGAGTTGAGAGGCGCCAGGCTCTGGATGAAGGACGCCACAGCGATGTTCGTCTGGGTCCTTGGCACATGGCCGTACACTTGCAGGAGATCGAACACGATGTACGGACTCCAGCACGTCACGAACACTGTAGAGATACAAGCAATATTAGCCCTTGTCTACACACCGCTCTTACAGTGGCAAATCTGCACACTTTTGTATTGTTTCTGAGGCTCTCAAAGCAGTGACTATGAAAAGTGGGTCTTCTGAATTGTAACGGTGCACATTTCTGAGAAAGCCCGACGTTTCGGAAGAACATCGCCTCTACATTCAGGGCCGTTCTGCTTGTCACCTGCTTCTTGTTTAGTTTACTCGTCATTCCTGAAGATGGAGGCAGTGTTCTCCTCCGAAAAATCTGTTGACATACCAGATTACACAGCGTACATCACAGAAATTATGACTCTTCATGGTGACTTGTGAGAACCACGAAACCAACAAAGAAGTCTTCCCTTCTCTTATTCTTTCATGCAAATATGCTGTTAGGTAGGGATCGTTGGTCTGCATCTTGAATTAGACGCAGTTCATGAAAAGTCTGTAAAAACTCAAAGATGGATGCAGTTTGGATTTCTTCCCACTGACTTAACTACGAATTTATTTAACATGTTCCCAGTTGTTCAAAATTTCTACTCAGAACGTCAAGTCATAATGATAATTATGAATATAAGGAAACCATAGAGATTTCCATAGACCGTTTGTTCTTTCTTTTCACTCTCTGCATGAGCCTGATGAAATTGATGTGAGTACGAATCACTGTAAAGTGGAAGTAAATGTAGCATTCAAGGGACTTCTTGAGTAAAACTGTAAACACATGAAGTAGGAACAAGTGTATGACTTTCGTCTTCCTATTCTGGCGTTTTCGGAATGGATATTACGTAGAAATACGCTGAAGAAAATATGGAACAGGAATAATTTCCAAGAACTCTTTACTTAATATGGGCAATGAAATGAAGCCTTGAGATATAATACGGTCAGCAAAAATTGACTTCCTTTGAGAAGTAATTGAGTATACATTCAGCAGACCATCAAACTGACACTGGCATTCGACGAAAACAAAATAAATTTAATTTAAATAAAATTCAAAATTAAAGAAAGAAACCATAACATAATATTTACAGAGAACCAATGTCTCATTTTTATGAGCAGGTGTGGTAATGACATTCGTTTGGAAGTAGAAACATTGAAGGACCATTGAAAAGATGTTTTCTGGTTTCTTATACCACGTGGTATGGTAGAAATATATCGACGTTTCAGTGGAATTTACTGCCTCCATCATGCTTGCTTGCTCATCTTAAATCTTACATTTCGACACTGAAGATCGAGGCAGTACGACCCTATGAAACGTTGAAGAGCTTCTACCAGACTACAGGGCGTCATATACCACACGGTAGCATTATACAGCATCACAGCCGTGAGAACCTCAAACCTCAGAAGATGGTCTGATGAAATATAGAATGAATCCGGGAAAGACCTGCAAGCCCCTGAAAAATTATCTTGATGATGATCATGAAGACAAGGATGCTGATTATGGTGATATTTAAGCCGTATATAACAGACAATTTAATTATCTGAATATTCCTCCTTCGAAAAAAAAAATTTAAATAGAAATAAGAAATGTGTGCATCTTCGAGGTATCGGATTGTAATGTCGGCTGGCCACCCTGACCGATATTTCCCTTGTTTTTCTCAGTCCCTTCAGGCGAATACCGGGTTAGTATGCTCGATTCCTCTCCACCCCCTTCCTCCTCTAGTTCAAATACGACGGTTGGACGGTAGATATAAAATCAACATCACTGAACTAAATGCGCATGGGATCGATGCTTATGTGAAAGTGACACTTTTAATGAACACAAATTGTAATATTTTTTCTGAAGGGAATGTGGAGTCAGCATAACGGTGATGGAGCGCGACTGCCACAGTATTGGCAAACTGTACTCCAATTTGGAGTAGACACTAAACATAATTTTTACATGGAGTCTGCATTTTCTGAATTCCGTTATTTTGATGTTTATAAATGTAAATGCAAATCTCGTAGGGAGATAATTAAAATTTACCTTTTTCTTCTTATCATTAAGCGCGTGATTTCACAGATTTAAATATCGCTAAAATATGCTGAACTCCAGCTATTCTTATATTAAATTCAAACGTAGCAGTTAGATGACCTTTAGTGGATGTAGTCGAAATTCGCTGTAAAGCCGCGGTGCGCACCAGCTGCGGGCACTGCGCACGAGCGCTTAAGAGCACGGGCGGGCCCCTACAGGCGGGCATGATACAATATAATTGATTGTTTTGGGACGTTACGAGTAACGCGGGCGTATACAGCTATAGACAGATGGCCTCCCTGACAAAGAAGTGAATGGGGAGATAGGCTTCAGTCCGATCGGAAAGGGGGGCTAGTCTGGTACACAGACAGATCCAAGACAAATGAAGGCATTGAGGCTGGGATGTATGGATGTGGCACGAGGAGAAATCTTAGCGCCAGCCTTGGACAGTTCACCTCTTTATTTCAGGCAGAAGTGTATTTCATCAAGACATGCTCACTAGGGGTTACAGATTGGGGTACGAGATGAGAAACATGAAATAGCCTATCTAGTGGTACGACTGAAATTTGAATGTCAATTTGTTGGTCCTGAATAAGCATGCGCCATGTCAGTAGGAGTTGCCAAGAAGGCGGTTAGGGAATGAACGGAGATCATAAAAATTACTGAGAGGCCTTATCAGGTTACAAATATGCAGAGTTTCCTACAAGGATCCTCTGCCAGAAGAACTAGGGAAGTATTGAAACTAAATAGAAAGTAGCGACGATTGGCGGCAGGACTATTTGCAGGACACTGTTGCCTGGAAGGATACCTTTTTCAATTGGGATTAACCACCAGTCCCACTTGTGAAAGTTGCCTGGGGAAAGAAAAACAGTCACACATGTCTCATGTGATTATGTTGCTATAACAAGCTTAAGATGTCTTCATATGGGACACTATTTAAAGGAGTCAGGTTTTCATCAAGATGTCATTTTAAGTAAGATATTGCACTTCGTACGAAGAGTAGGATTGTTTTGGGGCTCACCGGAGGGGGGGGGGCAGGAGACCACTGATGGTCGTGGCGCAGGGACCGGTTAAGGCCCACCTGCTATTAACATTTATAGGCAGATTGCCGAATCATGTTTTGGCCGTGAGCATTACTGGTGTTGTAAGATTTGAGGCTTTCACGGCGGTGACTATGAAGAAAGCAGTCTTCTGGGATTTGGCACCGTGTATATGTGGTGTTAACCGNTACAAATATTATTTCATATGGAATACATATGAATGTTTATCATGTATCCATTTTCTGACCCATAACATACTCGTAGTACATGCAGTTTATGAGAGTCACAGAATGTATTAAATTATCATCAGGATTCTTACTTATAATTTCATCTTTTAAAAATCTGTTTCCATAACAGAATGACTGAACATAACCTCTATATATGATACTATGAAAAAAGTAAGCAGGAAGTGACATGTTTAACGAATTTTGCAGCTGCAAGTCGTAGAAGTGTGTTGTCCCACATAGAGCAGTAAGGCATTTCTTATCCCAAAGAGAAATGTACGAGTAACAAAAAATTGCCGAGAGCACTTACATCAAACCTTTTGCACGACAAAAATAAATTCCTTGCTCATCACCTTCGAAATGGTAGGAAGGGAGAAAAATGGGTTCAAGAATTCTACATACGTTCTGTAGCCAGATTCGAAGTGTATTTTTAGATACGCGCATTACATATTCCTCTTAAATCATTAAAATTATGGCGCACCTGTGACCAATTCTATTATATTAAGACTATCACAGAAAATGGGCGTTTATCACCAATATCAGCGGAAGCAAATCCTGCTCTTCGGCAGACCTCTTACTCTTCCGTCCAGAGAGGGGTAGAGAAGACACCGTGGTTCCGGACTTGGCACAGTCGTTTGGTGTGAAAATTACGTACGGTGTTTTAAATTGTTTTAATTTATATTTTAAGGTTTCTAATAACTGTAGTTCAGATAATGAATCGCCTCTCACGCGTCAATGTACAGCTTTTCAGCCTTAAAATACAACCCCGTTTTGCCACAAAATAAACAACATTTTTGAAAATGAGATCGTCTACAACGACGGGAACAGTAGTTTAATCCAGATGTTTTAATTTTAGAATTCACGCACGTAATTAACGCACACTTATAAGGTGGCACGCGGTACTTTGTTGCAAAGCCGTATATTGACTTTAATGTGACGTGACGGTACTGCAACCAGGCAAGCTAATCATGGCAAATATGAGTAGAAGTTTCTCTGTTTTACCTGGAACTGAATTATTCAGAGGCACCGGTACTCTCTCAATCGTTAGAATGGCCAGTGACTATAGACTTTCCTGAGGCTGGTCACTCAGCGTAGGTCTTAATGATCTCTTCTTTTTCCCATGGCGCTGCAGCCTTTTGGACATTGGCCGCTTTCTTAATCCTACACACAGTCGGTAGAAATCTTTGAATGGGGGATCAGCCCGTCTCAAGGCCTCTACCTACACATAGAACACAAACACAGAAAGAACGTACACAGACATCCATGCCTCGAGTGGGACTCGAACTCACGATCCTACTGTTCGAGCGGGAGAAGACGGTTCATGTTTTAGACCGTGTGGCTACCATCATCGCCCTTAATAAAGTTAAACTTTGAAAAGCTGCTTTCAGCGCATGTAATAGTCATTCTATTATTCCCATTAGAATACGCTTATTTGAGTACACACTCAGTTTTCCGTGAAGAGTAAACATGAATATAGCTTTCATTTCGGAAACATGCGAAGGAATTGCTACTGTAAACACTTGCAGTTTTTCATACAAGTCACAATCAAAGTCTTCGTTAAAAGGCAACTCTTTTTCATATTCAGGAAGTTCTTATTTGACATTTATTTTCAAGTTTGATACTTCAAAAGGAAACCAAAGTTATCAACAAATTTAACAATTTCCAATTCCATTAACATAATGAAATGTACCACTCTGACCTGAACTTATAAATTTGTTATAGGCTCTTCAGCGTTCTTGTAGTTAGTTAGTTATTTAGAGAGGGTGGGTTTCCCCATGCACCGCGA